CCTCCAGCACCAAGAAACTTTTCCCCGTGACTTCTGAAGTATAACTTTTATTTAATGCCAAAGTTTTAGCCAAAGATATACCCAATCTAGTTTCACCATTTCTGTACATGTAATCTAACTGCACACCCCAACCCACCTCCAGGAAACAGGCTTTTCTCTAGTCAGGAAATGCTCCTCACTGCATTTTATCTGAAGTGGATGCTTTTGGTTTCTAGGTCTCTTACAGTCTTATTGGGGAAAATGGTGTGTGTGCTTTGAAATATTAACCCTTTTTAAGAATAGAAAAGATATATGTATAATTTTGTCCCATTTTTAATATTTTGGTGTAGCAACTTGTGATACATAGACAATGATTTTGTGAGTTTTACAATGTGTGTACAGATTTTGTAAATATGACATTTTTGTAATTTTAACGCCATGTACAGTGTAATCCTGTATAGTTTATCAGTGAATGGGAGATAGGAAATAGTGTGTTAACTAGTGTTTTGGATCCTGGGCCAGTAGCAGGGGATAAATGTGACATGGTGTTTTGTGTGAGTATGTGCGTATGATATTCTTTGCCATTTAGTCTCCGTGTATACTGTGACATTCTAGAGTGTTTTACTAAAACAAACAAAAAAACACATTGAGAATCTAAGGAAAAATTTACTGTATACCTTCATTATTCTTAGGTGTTACTCCTGTTATATTCCTGTTCAATCTGTGTTTGTTTCTTGTGATCATGCTTGCTGAAAAAATTCTACACTTCCATCTATTTCTTTATTTCCTCTCTAATTTTCATGTTGCTTTACATAGCCCGGCTGTAAATTAAACGGAACACATAATGAGCTTGTACATTGAAAGACAAATAAAATGTGACTCTCTGTTACTGTTTTGTGTTACATACAGTTGCTGAGTGTTTTTGTAATAAAGTGGTGCATGCTCTTGCTTTATTTCATAACATGTAAGTACATGTTATGAAATAAAGCAAGAGCATGCACCACTTTATTAAAAAAACATATATATATATATATATGCAGGATAATGTTACCGCACTACAGAGAAATATTTATTGACAGTATCTTAACAGAGCTTATTTTCTGACATTCATTACAGTGCATCCTCTTAGGATGCAGTGTAATTATATATAAAATAATTTGCGGTCTTCCTTTTAGCCACAGAAAGCTTCCAAAGCTCTGTGATACTGGCTCAAAGACTATCCAAATGGATCTCTGGTTGCATTAACCATTGTTATCAAGGGCATAATATGCTTCCATCCAAAGTCCATCTGCACTCCACAAAATCAGTTTCTACGTTGGTCACATTCCTTACAGATATTCCTATTTCAGTAACCTGTAGAGCAGCTACTTGGGCCTCTGCCCACATGCTCACAGAACATTGTGATCGCCAAAGATTCAGTCTCCATGCCATCTTTGACCCCACAGTACTCTATGTATTAACTGACTCCTCTCTGAAGCCCCAGCTTCCAGAGGTGAGTAGTACTTGGATCCCCTACAGTGGAGCACCCATAGGAACATTACTCAAAGAAGAGGAGGAAGTTACTCACCTTGTGCAGTAACAATTAGAGATGTAATAGTGTAGTCAATTAACCAATAAGCAAAAGCTTATAGATTAATGCTTTAGAATACATACATCCTCTCCCCCCCCAGTAATTTTTTAGGAGGCTGGCCAGCAGCCCGGCTTAGTCTTGGCTCGCACTGGGTCCAGGACCTACTCCTGCTGCACCTCTGCATTTAAAGTGTATTAGGAGCCAGGCAGACAGACAGCCTGGCTCAGTCCTGGGTCCAGGAGCTCACATAGAATACTAGGACTGGAAGGGACTTCGAGAGGTCATCGAGTCCAGGACCAAATATTGTCTAGACCAGTGGTCTCCAACCTTTTTACACCCAAGATCACTTTTTAAATGACAGACCAAGCCAAGATCTACTGCCCCGCCCCTTCCTGGAAGCCCCGCCCTCTCTATTCTCTTCCTCTCCATCACTTGTTAGCCCCAATCCTTATACTGCTACTTTAAAAAAAATTCCCACCATTCCTCGCAGCTACTCACCTGTGCTGTTGCTCGGTGAGTAGCTGCTCCTCAAATGAGGAAATCTAATGTAAATGTACTGCGCAGGCGCACAGTTCAAAGAGGGCTCAAGAGCTACTCTTAGAGCCTCCGAGATCTACTGGTAGATGGCTATCTACTGGTTGGTGACCACGGGTCTAGACCATCCCTGATAGACATTTATCTAACCTACTCTGAAATATCTCCAGAGATGGGGATTCCTTAACCTCCCTGGGCAATTTATTCCAGTGTTTGACTATCCTGACAGTTAGGAACTTTTTCCTAATGTCCAACCTAAACCTCCCTTGCTGCAGTTTAAGCCCATTGCTTCTTGCTCTGTCCTCAGAGGCCAAGATGAACAAGTTTTCTCCCTCCTCCTTATGACACCCTTTTAGATATCTGAAAACTGCTATCATGTCCCCCCTCAGTCTTCTCTTTTCTAAACTAAACAAACCCAATTCCTTCAGCCTTCCCTCATTGGTCATGTTCTCTAGATCTTTAATCATTCTCGTTGCTCTTCTCTGGACCCTCTCCAGTTTTTCCACATCTTTCTTGAAATGCGGTGCCCAGAACTGGACACAATACTCCAATTGAGGCCTAACCAGCACAGAGTAGAGCGGAAGAATGACTTCTCGTGTCTTGCTCACAACACACCTGTTAATACATCCCCGAATCATGTTTGCTTTCTTTGCAACAGCATCACACTGCTGACTCATATTTAACTTGTGGTCCACTAAAACCCCTAGATCTCTTTCTGTCGTACTCCTTCCCAGACCATCGCTTCCCATTCTGTATGTATGAAACTGATTGTTCCTTCCTA